TAGCATAATAATAATGATGATGATGATAATAATGAAAAAATAATAAACTGATTTTAAAAAGATAATTATTTAATTTAACACGTGGTTAATAAAGAACATTGTTTTATTTTCCTGAATATCCCTTAAAATCCTGCTCACTGTGGTCACCTGAAACTTTTACTAGAACAGACCTTTACAACATGCTTATTGAAATGTTATGTTACCTTGTGAGAAAAGATCGATGGCAGCATTGAGTGACATCACATCAATAAGAATTGGCTGAACTTTAAACTTCATTGCATATTTATTATCTCTAATCTTATCTCAGTTATAAAGCATTAGAGACGTGCTAATGATCTGACTGTTATCAGTATGGTTTTTATGGTTCTGTGATTTCAGTTCAGTCCTGCGGTTGGTTGTCTCCACCAAACCACGGTCAGAAAGAAGGAACCCTGTACCTGGAGGGGGCGACGGTCTCATTTTCATGCAACAGAGGATATGGTCTCTTTGGGTCTCAGAATCGCACCTGTCAAGCAGACGGGACGTGGTCTGGACAGGACACTCACTGTGTGGCTGGTAAGTAAAAGTGCACTGGGAAAATTACAACTCAGCCTCATATTGTTCTTACCACTAGATGGCAGTGTTTCTCTATTTTCATGCTGTTTTGTGGTAAATTTGTCAATCTTTTCTATTCTGAAGGCCTCATCCATCCCTACACCCTATTCATTTTAAGGGGGAATTCTGTAATCTAGAATGAGATTTGAAGGGATGAAGGTTTTAGGGGACAAAGCAAATTTCCTTCAGAACACATTTCTGCAACTTTTTGGTTGTCATCATCACCCCATTACATTTTTAAGTATTTTTCACCAACACCTAAAAATGTGCTGTTACTTATGGATGCCCGTTTTGCCACTAAATGAAAAATAAAAAGTCAAAAAAGTTGCAATTTTGAGTAATAGAGTCATAATTGTAAGATAAAGTTGAGCTATAAAGTCAGAATTCCGACTCTTAAATTAAATTAGTATATAACTGTATTTATGTATATATATATATATATACTATATATATATATATATATATATATATATATATATATATATATATATATATATATATATATATATATATGTGTGTATATATATATG